GAGTTTGGAGATCGGGGAGGGGAGAGTTATTACTAGCAATAGTTCACGGAGTTCACGGAGATCGAATCAACATCCCTCGGTAAATTATGTGACAGAAATATCAAACAGACAAACAAACAAACAAACAAACAAAGCGCTTTGAATTATAGCGATTTAATAAAAAAATAATAGTTTGGGTAAAGTACACCCTGATTCGACTGGAACAATGCAGCAATTGCGATGGGGTCAACCAGGTTGACAAACAAAACAAATCAGAGCTTTCGATCGATTAAAAGGTGATAAGGTAAACCATTGTTCGGTTTGGGGGAATTCAACAATGCCTTATTTCGATTTGAGAATAATTTATCTTTGTAATGATTTTTTGCATTTTGATGTATTCCGTATAGCATAAAATTATTCATTTTTGCACAACAGATGAATTGAATGAAGAGATGAGTGAATAGCGAGAAAATAGTTTTTATTTGTCGTTCGTGATCAGAACTGTATTTGATTACATCTCGATTCAATACTTCTCCCGTCCCCACATGATTGCTATTTGGTATTGTTGTGCAGCCGCTCTCTCTCTTTCTGTCAACATCTATAAAGGTAAGATGACTAGAATCGATGGGAGAGCATAAACATTATTATTGTGTTTGATGGTTAGCAATGCATCAAAGTGTAGCTCATGGAGGTCAGATCAGCTATGGGAGAAATCGCCAGTATGGGGTTTGAGCGAAATCATCGTATGACTGAGCCGACAACCATTTTAGGCTGAGAAAACGTTTTCGATCCAGAGAATCGCATTCAATCTGGACCATGTTTCCCTCACCACTACTCACTCTACCCAGTCAGTGTACTGAACTAAATTGTTCAGAGCATTTTATTCCCGTGATCCGTCCAATTCAGCATAAGACTGACCGATAGGAACTGAGGAAGAACCCACAAAATTACCCGTGGTTTCAGTTCAACTCGCGGGTTTCTATCCTGAACATTTTCTATGAGGAAACACTTTTTAGCAGGCAAGGCACAACCCCTCTTCCTATTCCTTAATGAGTAATATGATCGATATACCAGATGTGCCCAACCTGATTGGTTCGATTACCGAGACAGCATTACACTGCATTATATAGAATTTCGCGCAGAAGAATGAGTAAGACGAAGCGATTGACCGAGCGTAAACACTGTGAAGAACAATTTGTCTTTTCTGCTAACTGGCTGAGGCTGACATAGATCACAATAGTAATTCCTTATAGGATTTGGAAGACGGTCTCGTTACGTGGGTGGGTAAATGGGTGGGTGAGTGGGGGTGACAGAGCAATTATTGGACTTGGCTAAGTTACAGCAACTTCTCCTTTACCCTCAAAACAATCCGGTGGCAGAGCTGAACAGAGCGCGAAGAGTGACCTGAAGCATCAGAAACGATTTGTCGTTGCACGTGTGTATATATTGATACACCCCCGATCTGGGTAAAGCAGAAGACAGAACGGGTTGATTGTACTACTGGCGAAACGATTCACACGATTCACACATGATCCATACAGATTAATAAAACAATCGGTCGGTCAATACTGGCGAAGTCGATAGCAGGCCGAACAGTCACGTGCAATCCGATGCGAGTGAGAAGCTACACCCTGATTGAAGAATTCTCACTACAAGGTGACGGATTGGACCAATGAACTGTGTTGATCAAATTTGAATGTGGCATCCGTGTTACGGCCACATCTTTGAGCCGGTTTGATGAATTCAATCTCATTTTGGGATTGTGAAAAGTTCATTTGCCTCGATGGGATTCGAACCGACGCATGGACGTCACCTTAGCTCAACTGGTAGAGCGTGTGCTGCACAAAAGCGTAGGCGGCGTCCATACGTGGGTTCAAATTCCACCGAGGCTACTGAACTTTTCAAAATCCCAGCATAAAACTTCAATCTGCCAAACAACCATTTGAATGCAATCTTGTCTGAATAGTCAATCGCTGTTTCGGCGACAGAAGGCTTTGTGCGATGTGCTAAACTTGTGTGTATTTGTCAAATAGTACGTCTGGATATTACTAAGGTTGCCCATGATGAGCAGCGATGGGTCAAACCACGTATTACCCTCCCGAAAGAATATACATGTTTGATGAAAGTGGTCCCCAATTATCATTTCTTCAGGTAAAATGACTATTTTGTTTTACCTAAAATTCCGAAATAATCCCATTGTAACATCAGAACACAAGTCCGAAGGCGAACAATTGTTTTCGAATGATTCATAATCGTGCCTGTACAGATCATATAAGGGTTTGTTGTTAGTGGGGACACATTTTCACGCTGGGTCAAAGGGTCACTCGGGATGAGGAGAGGAGAGGGGAGAGATAAGCTCTATGTGTCTGTGTTCGGATGAGATTGATTGTGATTGGAGTGGTGGTGGTGGTGATGGTGATGTTGATGACCCATTTGGGGCCAGGATAAGTGGAGAGCTTGAACCAGTCGCTTTTGTGCACATAGTTCTGGTGCGAATAGGCGAATGCCTATCGCCTCAGCGGTGGCTAGTGTATGTAAGCGCACTGCTTTGGAGGGGTTGAGGGGCACACGATAGATTACGTTGAAAGCCGATTCCGGTCTAATTTGATGACCTGTATCTACTAGATGACCAAGAATGGCACTTCCTATGCTTCCTGTTCCTCCTTGTTTTAGCCTAAATTTTTACCTAAAATTGTTTTTTTCCCTACTATTTATAATATCTTTCAGATAATTTATATGCTTTTTTGGCCCCCTTTCGGCTTTAATCATGCATCCTCAACTGGTGGCCGCTGATTGGTCAACTCTATAAATTTGCTCATTTTTATTTGCCTCAGATTCTCTAGGTCTGTGTCCGGAAACCGGAACAGTGTATAAGCCGACGATACTGTAAATGACACTGTAAATTTGACTTGCACTGGGTTCATGAACTACACACTCATTACTCACCGTCCGGTCTTGTTTACGTAGCTGAGAGAAGGCTACTAGTGCTCGTGGTGAGCAATCTGTGCTGTTCGGACCTACATCGTATCTCTGCGTACACCCGCGCTCTGTGATATCTTGCAAGTCGTCTGTGAGTGTCCAATCTGTCCAATCAGTAGTGGGTGCCACTACCACTGTAGTGTTGTACCTTGCTATGTCGACTCGTGTTCTGGGCACGAGTTGTTTGTCTGACGCTGTTTCTGTGTTATTGTGTCAGAATGTGTTATCTGTATTGTATATGTGTGTGTGTGTAACTGTGTGAGTGATCGTGAAAGACTTCACACATTTGCTCGAATGTTTCATGACGGGTCACTAGTCGGTCATGAAACCGATCATAAAACACCAGAGCGAATGATAATTGGGATCAATTTTGTCAACTATCATTTTTTGAATGTATATATCCATAGAACCGTAACGAAATTTTCTTACCCCTTGCATACTTCCTCCTCATTTCCAGCTGCAGCGAAATACTTGTTATGATCTGAAATACCGCAATTGATCAAAAAGTCTAAACACGAAATTTCCACTCCTCAGAAAGAAACTATGGTTAGCAAATGGAATACAATACAATCGAGAAAGTATATTCAGCGCGTTAGTCCAGCATTCAGTGATTATTCCTCTCGCTAATCTCAACGCTCCTCTTGGGTGCAATAGCCAACCACCAGATTGCGGAACATCTCAGTATCAATGACGATTCAGCCTTCAACCCTGAAAGTGTGTTTAAACATACTCGAGAACGGAGAACCAGATTACAAAAGTGGTCTTTTCCAGCCAGGATAACCTCGATTTATGTCAACAAGGAAAGCCTGATTTGAATCAACTCGGGCAGAGAAGTTCGACAGGTTCTGCCCCCCATAGTTCGTATTCAAAACCCCTTGCAACCAAAATACTTGTTTTATTTTTATTGCTCGTCGTCTATAGCGGGATTTGGATAGCCACAATATTTCTCTGCAGAGAGATACTCATGTCGTACAATTTCCCAAGCCGCATCAAGCAATTTTATCTGAGTCCAACAGGAAAAAAAACAACACTCTATTTGATCCATCTAGCTCTTACCCAACAGTGATCCCACATCTCCCGGACCGCGATCCGTCTGTCGTCGGAGTATCATGTGACCAATTAAACGTTTTCCGTCTCGTGAAGGATTCCACGTGACCGGATGCGTCTGTGTTAGGGGAAATATATCAAAGAAGAGAAATGACATTAACACATGTTGACACAATTTCATATGACTTGATTGATTTCTCTCGGGATTGATAAATTCTAGTGAACCGACATGTCCAGACGGACGAGAACTGCTAAAATTAGATACAAAACATAAACTTCTCGGCAAGTTGATTGATATCACCAAGAACTTTTGGTGACACAAAATAAGCTGACGTAAATATAAAATTAATCACTAGCTAAAATGTTGGGATTGCAGTTATATGTAGGTGCTTCTAACTTCCAACCGCTATTCTGCCCTTGAATCAGTTCTATCGATAAAACTTACTCGCTGATTGCAAGATCTGTTTGATGAGGTGAACAAAATGGCCATCTCAAAAATACATTTAAAATACACTGTCGTTCTTAAGTCAAAATTACAACAGCGAGTGATCAGTAATCAATTTCCTTTTGGTTTGACTATTTTATTTTGGTAACCATGATCTGTCGGTGATGACTGTTTCGCCATGGTGTTCAGTTCTGTACATTTCGAAGGAAATATATTAATAAGAAATTACAAGATTGATTTATTCCCGTTGGAGGCGGGGTGTGGTTGGGATTGGATCGATGAGATGGAGATGAACCAAAAGCGGATAGCGTTCAAAATAAAAAGAACACCGGAAATTACTTGTCTACGAATTAGCGATCAGTAGAATTAAATTAAAACCAAATTAAAATGATCCCAGTTCAACGGCGTCAAAACATACCATTGGTGCTTGCCCCGGTATTGATAACAGTGAGTTTGCATCCGAGCGCATCCGGTAGAAAGGATCTAACATATAGAAAGGGAAACATAACAGGAAAGGGGGTAAATGTACTGATAGATAGATAGATGGATGAATGTATGTATGTATGTATGTATGTATGTATGTATGTATGTATGTATGTATGTATGTATGTATGTATGTGTGTATGTATGTATGTATGTATGTATGTATGTATGTATGTATGTATGTATCTGTATGTATGTATGTATGTATGTATGTATGTATGTATGTATGTATGTATGTATGTATGTATGTGTGTATGTATGTATGTGTGTATGTATGTATGGATGGATGGATGGATGGATGGGTGGATGGATGGATGAATGAATGGATGGATGGATGGATGGATGGATGGATGGATGGATGGATGGATGTATCGATGGATGGATGGATGTATGGATAGATGGATGTATGGATAGATGTATGTATGTATGGATGGATGGATGGATGGATGAATCGATGCACAAATCCGAATGGTATAAATAAACAAATGAAAGTCTAAGGTAAATATGCGCATTATTCATCACTGAGGTATAGGTCACGTAACTGAGCTTTGCCTAACAGCCTGGGAACAGGACTTAAATTTGAGCTAGGAATCAACATTTTATAACACTGGAGAGGACGGCAGTAATTCGTTTACAAACTAACTGCCTAGTATACTTAGTCCTGTGCGTGTTTCTTGAAATGGTCAAGCCGAATGACCCATATACCATTCACACATCTGAGTCTATGACCGGGTATCAGTTGGATAGTTTTTCATCTGAGTGGTTCTTTCACTGTGGCTTATTGATTTATGCACATTCATTGATTACCGAGACCATTTTACATCTACAACGTTGGCTTATGCCTTCAATTTCGTATAATAATCAATCTTGTCCACTTCTTTCGGTGGACAGACAGAAAGACATATTCATATGCAGATGCGTCTAACCGCATCGATTGATTACCTGAATAAGTTGATTAGCGATTTTCTCGCTGTTTATTTAATTTTGAAACGCTGACTCTCTTTTATTCACTTCATCAAGAATGAAAGAAGATAAAATTGGCTAGATATTAACATTTCGTTTGATCTCCTCAATCGCTGACTTTACATAAGTTGGTATGTATTGGCATAGCACATTGGGTTGTTGATTCAATGATGCCGTTGAAAATCGGTGGTCAGGTGATCACCGCGGTCGTCTGTAGTAAAACACATCTTAAAGATGAGCCATACAGTTGACTCTCTCTCGCTTCTTTCAAAGCACTGTTACGTAAGCGCAATACTCAGGCGTTCCTTATTCGATCGTGTTGTTCGATTTTATGCTCTCAAAAATCGCTTATCCAATCATTTCACTTACTGTGGAGTTAATCTTTCACTCTTATTTCGGGCAATCTTTGTTTGCATGTACATGCTCATTCACTGTGCTAAACCAATCTGATGTGCCATACATATATGCCAACTTATATTACGCTAGCCAGTGACGAGATTAAACGAAATACTAACATCTCGCCCAATTTGTTTTTTGCCGGTTTTGATGTGATAGAATTTTCGCATTTTTTTTCTCACATTCGTTATGATGAGGCGACAAATTGTGATCAGTTGTTCTCATGGGTCTCTAAACGCATACTGATCCGTTCACGGTTCTTTCATCGGAACTATGTGGAATTGGTCTGTCTTAGCCGGGACATATGATTTTATGCGTGGAATCATAAAGGTCACTCGGTGTTGTAACTTACCCTCACCTCGCTGTCGGCCGACCGATTGATAATCTACAGCTAACCGTCCTGACCGGGGACTCATTGGCATGTCAACCGAACTGGATGCATATCCTTTCCGAGGACCGTAGACAATATCACTTCTACTATACGTGTTACCCGTGGATCTCAAACTGGCATAGGACAATCGTGGCATATCACTGAGATCATCGCCTAGAGCAGACGGTCGATTTGGTGTGTGGGTAAGGTCAGGCACGTGACTTGGCAGTGCACGACGGGGTCGTCCGCCACTTGGGGGAGGGATATCCAATCCAGCTGGATATACGAGGGCCTCATCTCCTCCAGTCATACCAAACTCTTCACCTTCTGAGCTGCTGAATGATCGATACGGGGTATCTCTTACCGTCCCAGTACGATCGACAGGGTCCGGTGGAACAGGGGAGAAAAGATATGCGCCTCGAGTCCGGTCCAGAGGTTCTCCTTTAAATGAAAGAAATTGTTCCAGTTGACAGATAGATATCACGGAAAAAAGGGAAAATGAGCATGAGGTAGATTTCAGCCTTCTCAGTAGTGAAGTTCGCGAGAGCAAGCATAGCCCTGTACATGACACATTAGCTGAAATCCTTACTGCTGACCGTTACAACAAAATTAATAGTTCATTTTTACACCTAATCTTCCAGTTTCCTCATATTCTGCAATGAAATTGTTTGCACACAACTTTGAGATCAGAACACATCAAAGTAGAGAATAGTAACGAGCAAACAAACGTGCTAAATTCTCTCATTATCTCTCCCCTCCCCAGTCTTAGACGGCTGAGATGTTTGTTCAACGAACATCCTCTTCGCGCATGGGTTTGTCATTCTTTTCGTTCCCGGTTGGGTACTATGTCATGTACGAATCAGCCCAGGCCGAGACACTCTGCCTGAAAAGCTCGCTTCATGCTTCAGTCACGGCGCTTTTAATACCATAATCAATCAGACCAATCACTTGGCATCAGGTTTCCTCACATGTCATCACACTGACCAGTCGGGTAGGAGCGTGCATACGTGTGGACTCGTATGCGGTAACCGCAATCCGCGATCACACAATAATAAGGGAACCCCAATGCGCACCGTCCACTCTGTTCACGATTAGGCCCAGCTCATTTAACTGTCTTTTTAGATTCTCCTCACAGATGCACCAGATGCACGTGCAATGGCTTGCGGGACAAGGCAACATGCATTGTTGTGCACCCCAATCTGGGGTGCAAGCAGTCCGATGAGCTATGCATGGTGTCTGTCTACAACTTTTAAAACGGTGATTGATATGCACTATAGTAAAACTGAGATTTCGACCGGGGTCTTTCCGGAAATGACTGGTTGGGAGATTAAGATATAGTCCATTAGGGAAGACGAATTCGTTGATAAAAGTATCCAGCTTGTGCTCACGTCCAACTCTTTTATGACACGTAGCTCATTAGAGTGCTCACTTCTGTCATGTAAGGCATGTGCCGCGCAATGACCACAACACCTGTGCGCAATATCACTTGATGGATTCATGGAGTGAACTACTGCAAACCAGTATGGGATAGCTGTATCACTAATTTTTCGTAGGCGATGAGCATGAAAATTGCACTAACCTGTTCCTCTGGATGGATGCAAATGTGACCCTTTGGGTGTCATATATTTTGACGGAGACTGGGGATACGATTCATGCACATATTCCGCGTCTGACGGGTGTGAGTACCGAGTGCCTGTGGTCGGCCGGTACTGGGCACCAGCCGCACTCCAACCACTTACACTTCCACTCCGTCCTCCAGGTGATTCGGACTGATCGGAGGTCAGTGAATCTGTTCCGTAGTTCGGGTCTAGCCGAGACGGGGTTGAGTGCGGATGACGAGGATGTTGATGGCCTCGAATGCCCGTATGACCGTATGGCTCGTCAGAGCGACTCGCTGGATAATTATCTTGACGTGGTTCATGATATGGGGAATAGGCGTGACGGGAATCAGCTTCGTGCCATTCGGAGCGTCGATAATTCCCTCGATATCGATCGTCCATTGGATCAGAATCTGTGTGTTGTCTGAACGAAAAGATTGATAATAAAATAGCAGTAATTATTATTTGGACAGTCTAGAGAATACACAAATAGGTTACACATTGTAGTAAACACGTCCAGTTGGCAACAGGATACAATCATTCACAGAAAAAAGAAAAGAAAAATAGAAATCTGATTGCTGAGACTCAAACAAAAAAAACGGATGCACTTCTCTTGTTTTTCACAGAAGATGATACCTCACTGTTTGTATCATACCGCAGGGAAAAGTTGTTCCCGCGCTGCCTTGCGGATGAAGCTTTGGCTGGCCGAAAGCCTCGGTTGTGAATTCCCTAAGAAGATTCCCTTGCCTTCGTTTGGTTTGGATAATCTGGCAGTATCGCGCCCTTGAGCAAATCAAGGAACATTTTTTTTTATAAATTTAACTTTACTACGATTTTTTTTGGCACACAGTGTGAACTCAGATGCGTGTGAAAATGTAAAGAAAATTGAAAATTATTCAAAAAAAATAATAACAATAACTGGTTTTTGTAAGCGCATTAGCAGGATGCAGTGAAGTTGGGTTTTATATCAATATCAAACGGTTTTAAGAAGCAGAATCCGGGTTTGGTCACACCCAATTCACTCAATCGATTCCACTGACCAAATCACACCAAATCCCCATTCCGTAATCGGTTCACTTTACCCACCTGGACAAGTAACCCCGTGGGGAGCGTGGATCAACCGGGTACGATGAATTATTTTGTTCCGGATCCAAACTGGTTGATCGATTCAACGCATTGGGTTTCGGTAACATTCGACCAGATCCCGGAGTATACGCAGTCGGATAGCGTGAACTGACCGGTGAGCTGACTTCGGGTCCAATACGGGGTAAAATCCTACGAGGAGAGTGAGAGAGGAATGATTGTAAGGCTTTTTTCAATTTGACTTGAATCGATCAGAAATCGGCAACCAGGTTTTGTCGAGCAACAACAACAACAACAACAATCGAAAAGTGCTCGAAAATCGGAAAGCTGAGACTGAAAGTGTAGACGACCAGCGTTTCCGGGTTTCATACGGGCTGGAAGATGCATTCATGTTTTGACGACATAACAGCAAGTCACATGCTACTTATGAATGCAGCTCACTTAGTTGTTTACTTTTCTGGTTATTTGCTTGCGTTCTAATTGTGAAACGGGCTATTAACACCAATGGGACTCGAATAGAGTCGATACTGACCATGCAATTGTTTAGCCATGACCGGTAGATAGTCTTTTAGCTTCGACGCACAAACTTTAGGCATATCGTTGTCAGCGAGTCAGATCAAAAAGTACCAGAATATTCTGAGCTCAATGAACGTTGAAACATTTTATCTTCTACACATGTGAATGTTGCAAATGTGGGTTTATAAATGAGAGGGTGTAGTGATTGTATACTGTGCATTGGACCGTCGTAATGGTGTGTGGATAAAGTTTAAACAATATGATCACCGCAGAGCTTCATTTTTACACCATTTCAGCTTTTGCAACACCCACTACTTGTAGTAAACAATTTTTTAACATTCGTTGACGTCAGAATATTCCGAAACCTTTTAATCTGACCTGATTAAAGCGGTACGATTAAAGTTTGTCCGTGGAGGCTTAAAGAGGCTTAAAGGCCGTGGCTACAGAATTAGGGGTTTTTGCCAGAGGATTGAGATCTGATAGTGTGGATCTACGATCCAGTATTTCCTGACCTTGCATTATTGATCTCTTAGAGTCTATCAAACATGAGCAATCGAGAGCTCTCCTAGCAACTGAGTGAGAATTAATCTTAGCAACAGAGAACGTTCGACTGAACATTTACCAACTCACTCGAGGTGTCTTTTACGAGGAAAGAAAAGAAAATATGCGAAAGTTCAAACAACCTGGCGTCTTCCAGAAATAAATTTCATCATCATCTCTACACCGATTTCGTGTGTCTGATTGCGATATCACTTTTTAACAACAATGTATGTTTCATATTCCGGTTAATAGGTAGTGATAAAAAGCATCATAAAACCAGGCTATTTATGTTGAAATAACACTCCCCGGGTGTATAAAGCTACTACTGAAAAAAATGTTTTTATCGATACAGCTTCCTGCATCGGTTGCCCTAGTTCATACAACTGTTTTTACTTGAGCTATCATCCTAATAGCACAATCATATACTCGGTCAATAAGGCTGTTTTTAGATTCATTCCGTACAACGCCAGTAAAATAGACTGCGAGAAACTGTACGTGAAATCGGCCAAACACTTACCGTTTAGTCTCTGTCCCGGATCGATTCGGATCACCAGCTGCCGACGTTTGACGCTGTTGTTGTTGTTGTTGTGGGCTGGCGGAAAACATCCCCAAAAATCCACTCACAAGCCGTCCAGCAGCTTTCGGATCAAGCGGATTGGTGGATGCTCCCGTTGCGCTCGTCCCGGTTGGAGCACTGGTCATCGGGACAGTCGGGCGGACATTCGTGCCGGTGAACGACGACAATGGATGTCCGGACTGTGGTGCGCTGTTCGCACCGTCAGTGCGTTGTGCGCATGGTTTGCACGTCCACTGGACCTGATCCACATCTGTGTTCAGCTGATAACCACAACGGGTACAGGTTTTTCGTCGACAGTGTGTACACACGTGACCCAGACCGTCAGCAAATTTGGTCTTCTCACAAATCCCACACACCGCGTCCATAATTCCGTGCGTGGTCCCTGTGTGCCCACTGACCGCATGCATTGCACCACTGACCATACTGGCCACTGCGTTACCAAACGGTGCTGTGCTGCTTGTGCTAGAGGTTGAAGTGCTCCCCGGTCCACCGTTCACCGGTGGATTGGACTTGGCGCCCGGTTGCAATGGACGTTGACTTTGTACCGGCGCTGCGCTTGATTTTCTTGAAAAAAAATCGGTATATGAGCAATCTGTTCATCCATTCTCCTCTGTACAGATGGTGGGAATGACTAAACAGAAAATTCAACTGAACAGTTCAATCCTATGAAATGGTTTGAATTCTCTAGGTATACCGATTCAGTTCCGTGATTGGATTTTAATCACGTTGGTTCCGATCATTAGGGATGGACAGGGGGAGGGGGCGGTGTTGTGTGTGGTGCTGGCCACGGAAGACCGAGTACAGGTACTAAATGGTTTTTTGATTGTAGCGAAGGGCGGGGGATCATGTAGGTGCACTCAGAGCACTTTCGTCATGACCAAAATGTGATTCCTAATTCTCTTGGATCGACAACTATACACAAAGAAGAGGGATGGAGATATGACCAAGACCACATAAACCACGTAATTCAACTCCACTAGATGTGTGAGACGATCGAATTGTTAGGCCCATGAACGCGTTCAGATAAACATTGGCTCGTGTGACCCACAGGCATAGGCGAATGAGCGCACACAGAAAGAGGCTGCAGAAACTTCGCGCAGATTTTCTGCACCAAGATCAATGTTCATAGTGAGAAATCTGGTGAGATACGGGACAATAGAGAAGCTGTAAGCATCATTGCAGGCCTTTAGAAGTTTATAACTCGAATGGGTGATGTATTGATGGTATGTTTGGACAATTGGGATGTTCAAAGAACAAGACCCTAAAATTTCATATGGAAATTTGGGTAAGATGATGAATTGCATGATTACAGCTTCATTACAAATGGATAAAATGACAACGATCTTTAGTTTATTGAACAGATAATTTTGTAGCTAATCCTTTAGGGAAGGTGAAGCTGTCGGCTGTTCCACGAAAACGCTTAGGTTAAGCGATCTTGATGGGACTCGAGCAGACATTCTCTGAGGTGCCGTGGTGATAACCATTACCGCCTGATCACTACCGCGCTTTATTCATTGTTTTTTAAGCATCCTGTAATAAGCTTGTATGGTTCTTGGACCTCTTTTTGATGGACTCATGCACATTTTGCGGATCCGAAAAATTTTATTTGAACAGCACCTGCGAATTCCGACGTTCGTGCTAGCCGGGGAACAGGGCTTAGTGACAAAGTGCGAAAAATCACACTCAGGCCAGCTAAGATGGAACCAATCAATACATGGACAACACGATTAGCACGTAATTGGTAAACGCTTTTTTATTTCATACCGTTCCGATGATGCGCGAGGACCTACTGTATGTTCACGAGAACTGGCAACTTGAATCTCCTCAGTCGTGACGTAACAAACCACATACAACCGCGCAAGGATAGGATCCTGAGCTGGGTGATAGTGAACCTGGATGGGTTCGAAAATGGTAAATAGGGCCCGAAGCAGGTCAGTGACAGCGAATTGCACAGCCTGAACACCACCACCACCACCATCATCATCATCATCATCATCATTATCATCAATTGTCCATTGTGGTTTCAAGCTCTGGAAGGAGATCGTCATGTCTACGCACTCATTGCAGCTGGTCTCCGAAGAGATGAAGCCACATACATAATAGCTGACCGAGAGAGAGAGAACAAGTTTCGACAAGGAGTGTGCTTCAAAGAGGAGCATTTTACATCGGAATCATAAGTGGAATTTTGGCTCAAACTGGATAACCCGGAAAGATCAATAATGAATTCATATCATGGATGCGGTAAACAATAATGATCTCACAGAAACCTTCGGGACGTTATAAGGGTTCTGGAAACTTATTTCCCCGTTTCAACCGTGTTTCTTTTTTGTTGTTGTTGATGTTTTTCGGACGTACCGGCATGAGCAAGAAGCTCAACGGGGCGAATAAAATCGATCGATCCCGAAGATGTTCACTTGAGATCAAAATAACAGCTTAAAATTGGAAAACGTTCACTGCAATAACGCAATGTGATCAGCTTCGACAGCAATGATGAAGATGATCAATCTCACAACCATTTCATATTGTTAATGCAATAAAGGCAATAAAGGTGCCGAACTGCGCGTAGTCTAATAGCCGAGATGATAGAGATGAGGAAGTCGACTCCTGACCTTTGCACCTGAAAGCATTTAGTTCAGTCTCTACAAGTTCCATTACCTACGGTCGATCAGGACCGACTGAGTTTGCCGTCCAGTCACTCAGAGTGTAGTTAACCTAATGGAATGACAAAAGCTAGTTGAAACGGGACAAACTCCTACCCATGAATGATTGGTATTGCATCTGACTGTGTAGTTAGTTCTCCATAGATTTATCTATGTAACCCGTCAACGGCTTGAGAATGAACTAATGAAAAAAAACACCGCGGCATCAAACTGTGTCTGTCCTCAACTCTCTTTTCCACCAAAGCCACATAATTTAGACCATCATTGGTGTTCGGAACCTGTCACCTGTTATGGACTAAAACTATTGCCAACAATTGTACGAAATGTCCGTTAGATCTACGTGGATACAGTGTGGGAACCGGTAGTACCCTTGTCCGTGATCGCCTGGTTTGATCGGGGTCAGAATCAGCGGCGTTTGATGAGTAGTGAGCAAAGCCTGCCGCCAGGACATTTGAGCAGTATAAATCTCCATTAGTGAGGAAAGTGCATATACCGTTTGACAATTTTCTCAGATCGAATCCCGTTGGGAAGAGCGAAGCAAACGGTTTTGGGACAGCAGTTCCATAAAAATCATGGAGCATGACATTGCGTGTTCCATTCAAGGAGCAGGGGCCATAACAAAGGTTTCTCAGCACCACCACGGCAAGTGGACACTGGGGTGAGATTGACCGGCATTGCAATGATGTGTAGTGTAAGGGATCCGAAGGGTTTGAAAATCAGGGTTTTCTACACAAACCAACCACAAAACATGGTATGTCTCGGACCAACGCAAATCTATCGTTATTCCTACTTGATCTGCAACTGGATACCTTCCAATCTCCGCCCTCTCCTGGAGAAGAACCTATACACAGATTTCGCCGAAAGCGTGCCAGGAGCAGTCTGAACCGACCGGGCTACGATTGGGATAAAGGAAGCCTCCAGAGTTGACACAAATGGATTCATAGTTTCGAACAAAAGCGAACAGTCTGAGACTAAAGATTGCGCTGTTAGGATATCAACGTCCTCTCTGAAAGCTGTTTTTCTTCTTGAACAACTAATCCAGTGATTTATCAGAACTTACCACCAATCAAGATGACCTACAAGGATACAGTCAACCAATCGTTGTTTATGTGCATTTCCATAAATAGTACGTATCAATGATGAGTTCCAATAGGGATCGAACTGATTTGCGATGCTCTTTGTCGGTTTTCACACAAAGAATTCCATCACAAATGTAATACCGCTCCTGTCTGTCTGTCTGTCTGTCTGTCTGTCTGTCTGTCTGTCTGTCTGTCTGTCTGTCTGTCTGTATTGGGAAACAATGATTGAGCTATACATTCTCTAATAAATCCAACGAAACAATGTTCAATCGAAGGATACACAATCATCTCTGACATCAGAGATGTTGGTTGTTACTGCATGAATATTTTGTAAAACGCCGCTGTCATGTTTCTCAGTTCTGAGAACGCATTCAACCTGGCCTGATCATTTTCACAAGCGAAGAGACAATCTTGGGATGTCCCTACCGGAAGCCACGTATTGGTTCATTTTTAGTCGCTTTATAAACTATATCTTTTTACAATAAATTATAATCACACCTCTTCAAAAACTGAAAAAATATCTCGATGCTTCTATCTGTGAGTGCAACAAATTCGATTTTACTTTTCCACCACGGGGAGAGAGCGAAAGACTGACGAAATTTCTAGTTTTTTTTCACCTACAAGAACCGCAAAATGATTTGTGAGGCAATCTGACGTCGCTCTGTACATCCGGATGAATTATAAAGTTTTCTTTTGGACTCAGAAGAAATGAACCAACCACATGGAGTCCACACAGAGTTACAATCGAATAATCCAGAAAGTGGTATTGACTGTTCAGCTTCAATTTCAGGTTTTAAAACTATTGACCATACATTTTCATGCGCCAATTTTGATTGCTGTCTTTTGGCCACACCCATTCGGATAAAAAGGCAGAATGAAAATTGGCAGGTTGAGAGCAGAGTCAAAATAAAGATATAGTACATGTAGACTGAGGGTGGGGGATGAATCAACCCAAACGTGTAGCAACATTTTATACTTTGAAGGGGAAAAACACATTCGGAACATGGTTACACTGACTCTCAAACTATCTTCACTTAGCAGCACAATATCGTCTGCATACTTCAGATCAGAAAGTTTACTGCCCGGGATCAAATAAATACCGCTATCCTCGCACGAGGATAACGATGCTTCAACAATTAAATCTATGACAAAGTAAAACAGAAATGGAGAGGGCAATTCTTACGGACATCGCTTTCTGACGTAAAACCGGGCGAAAAAGTGCTCGGACTCGGCTTCGGCGGTTAGTATGAAGAGATCGCACAATTGATATTACCTTGACTGATTTGAACTGACAATCCTTCGGAGTTCACCTTCACGCACAATAATCAGTTCATCGATTCAATCATGCACTCGGAAGTACTAGATTCAAGTTTCGTTCTTATTAGGGCTCATCAGTAGTGCATATCCACCGTCTTCTTCGGGAGTTAAACCCCAAACTCGTCGCATAGAAGGCTTGTGTGTTATCACTGTGCACACCAGCTCACACCATGAGTAAATCGAAATGCCAATTAATGTTTTTTTAGATGTCATCTTTGGTGATGCATGATACAATGATAGTCAGTCAGTTCATTTGGCCCGGCAGCGACAAAGGGAGACACAGATGACAATCTGTTAATTTCAATCGAAAGTCTCCTACTGNCCTACTGAGTAAAGAATTTCATGCCGGTTACGGGCCATAAGGGTCGATTGATTATTAGCATTTACCTCACAGTTACTGGTGAGTTCAAATCCCGGACGAGACAGTTGATGTGCACTACTGATGAGCTCGAATAAGAACGAAACTCGAGTCAAGGGCTTCCGAGTGTATGGCTGAATCGATGAACT